CACACACACACACACACACACACACACACACACACACACACACACACACAATTATCGATATTCCGGCGCCTCTGCTTGTTTTAATAGGTTAAATGTGTTTACTTGGTTAAATTCATACTTCTTTCGGATCTTGTCCAAGGAGATTCCGTTTTCCATATATTCAATTCATACCTCCTATGCTCTAAGCAGATTTCTAATTAACTATCTTGAATTTCTTCAAAATCAAATCAAACTTGCAAAACATGTTTGACTAAATTATTCTGGTTTACTGGTTTTCCCCAGTGCAGTTTATATGAGTTGGTAGAGCACATGACTCATCAGTATAAGCGTAAAAATCATGACCAGCCGACAATTTAGGAAAGTACAAAACAAATAACGAAAACACAAGACATCTTGAGAATACAACATCCCAGTACAGTTTATATATAGTTGGTAGAGCACATGCACTCATCAGTATAAGCATAAAAACCATGACCAGCCGACAATTTAGGAAAGTACAAAACAAATTCCGAAAAGACAAGACATCTTGAGAATACAACATGTCATATGATTCAAAACAAAACGCAGGTTGAGACTGTAAATTTTCGACTTTGTTTCAAAGTCATCTTCAGACAGAAGATGACTTTGAAATAAAGTCTTCTTCTTCAAATAAAGTCTTCATCTTCATTTTGAAATAAAGTCTTCATCTTCTTTCTGTCTGAAGATGACTTCGAAAATTTACATTCTTGAGACTGTGCGTCTTGTTTTGAATCATATATTGTATTCTCAAGATGTCTTGTCTTTTCTATTTTTGCATGTATCAGCCAAATATGGTTGCAAAGGTTATGACCTCTAATCACAAGACTGCTTTCGAAATTTGTATTTCCTGGAAGACCAGTTCTCGGGAAAAATTGAGCGTGAGCGAAAAGGGCGTGATTTGCCTGGAACTGTATTCCTAAATTCTGTTTTAAATTCGGTCAGTATAATCTGCAGACTGCAAACCGCAGACTGCAGACTGCAGACCAAGTACAAAATGCAGAATAGATATAAATTGCAGACTGAAATTGCAGACTTGGTATAAAATGCAGACTGTGAAAAAAACGTATAAAACTACACATTACACTACAATATAATCTAAGACTCAAATGTCAGTTTTATGTCACGAGAGTTGTGAGAACTGCTAAATATAGCAAATGTAAGCAAAATTAAGACATTTTAAACCGTATTTAATACCTAACGAGTGAAGAATATTGAACTAAAATGAGCCAGATACACAAACTAAAAGAAACAACAAACCATGTCACAAAAATAAATTTGTGTAGTGAATGACTTTTATAAGTTTGAGAAAGAACAATTTATCCTCGACAAATGTGTACTAAACCCGCTTACGCCTGACTATAGCTGTATAGCAGTAATATTATGATTTTGTTGTGCTTAAATTTTGCAATAATTTTCACTAAAATATTTTGAAAATCGCTCTAAACCTTTTTATATGAAGCATACAAAGCTTATATACATTAACATGCATCGACAATGAACCGCAAACTCGAAGTTGTAAATAATTTGAACTTCGTGACAGTATGAAATATTAAAATATATGTTTTTTCACGGTCTGCATTTTATACCAAGTCTGCAATTTCAGTCTGCAATTTATACCTATTCTGCATTTTGTACTTGGTCTGCAGTCTGCAGTCTGCGGTCTGCAGTCTGCAGATTATACTGACCGGTTTTAAATTTGTCTGTACAGAAAGAGGTATGTTGAAGATCGTCTGAACATGTGAAGCATTTCTGGTTTGCTAAGAATATGTGACTTTATTGTGTCGTAAAGTCGAAGAATATGGCCGAGGGTTTCGACACAAATCGCTTTCAGTCCACTATAGACACGAGCTTTACCTGTCCTATCTGCTTTGGTGTTTTAAAAGATCCAATGCAATGTGAGAACAACGAACATTATTTCTGTTCTGGTTGTATCAAGAAGCATCTGGAGAAGACCTCGCATAGTTGTCCTGTCTGTCGAGAGAAACTGACGGCAGAGACACTGCGTAAGGCACCGAGACTTATTGCAGATGTCATTTCACGTTTGAAGATCAGTTGCGATCATGCAGCGAGAGGTTGTGATGCAGTTCTTGAGCTTGAGGCTTTACAAGCACACGTTCAGGACTGTGATTTCATGCCTGTCACTTGTTCGAATGACGGTTGTGATGAAGTCGTGAATAAACGCGATGTAAAGCATCATGAGCGCGAGTTGTGTCGCTTCAAGACAACGACCTGTGACGACTGTAGGGAAAGGATGCCTCATAACAAATATGGCGCACACGGCTGTGTATTACGACGTGATGTAGATGAAGTGAAGGAGGATCTGGCAGAAGTGAAAGCCACGCAACATGAAATGAAAGAAAGCATACAACGAATGACAATCGCGATGGAAAATATTGAGAAGTCGTGCCGGAATGTAAGCAACGTGGTTAACTCCTTGGGCAGTTATATAAGCAGTGATATCGTTGTCATCGCGGGTTTGTCTTCCAAACCAGATGAAGCCCTTTCTTGCGTGGAGCAGTTCAACTTGTTCAAACAAACCTGGACACCACTGGCGGAGTTGAAAAAAGCTCGATGTGCTCATGCAGCTGTTTTGTTTGAGAATCAAATATTAGTTTGTGGTGGAAGCCCTGGCATTTCCCCAAGTGATTCTGACTCCATCGATAGCATAGAAGTATTGGATCTGAGAGGTTATACCGCAGAATGGAAGGAATTCTCTGTGAATCTTCCTATCAAAGTTGCTGGTCACAAATGCGTTGTGTATGGAAATCGTTTGCTGATTATTGGTGGTTCTACGAATATGAACAATGATGATGCTTGTATTGATACGATATACGACCTGCTCCTTGTCCCTCCTTATTCATCGAAGTTGCTTTGTCACATGAAGAAGAAACGAGCGTTCCATGGAGTGGAATTGTTCGATGACAAGGTTTTGATCGCTGGTGGACACGTAGCGGAGACTGAGGTGGAAATATTCGACATCACAAGGAATGAATGTGTAGAAATGCCACCACTGCCATCTCCTGTTTGGGGTATGGCGACAGTTCGCCGAGATGACACCATGCTTTTGATTGGAGGAATGGACGACATAGGAAATGTTAGCAATCAGATTATCGAGTATAATTTTAAAACTGGACAGAGTAAGGTTGATTTGGTCATGAAAACAGAACGAGTGGGCTGTGCTGCTTTCAATCATGGAAATACGCTTATAGCAATTGGTGGTGCGAAAAAGGTACCGTTTGATGACGATGACGTTTTTGATGCAGTGGATTGTTTTAAATTTTCATTACGTTCATGGAAGAAATTATCTCCAATGCTTAAGGCAAGGTGTTTTGCTTCTGGAGTTATTGTGAAAAACGACAATTTTGAAATTTGACAATTGAATATTGAAATACAAAGGTCTGTTTCAAATATAGAACTTTTCGTGTGCCAAATCTTATAAATTATCTGCCAAACCTTTTGTGAGCCAATGACTTTAAATCCATTTGAATTCGGCACATGTAAAGTTCGACATTTGAGGCAGCTCTAATAGTACATTTAATATATAATAATAAATTCGAATGGACAGGAATATAAAACTGTGTGTACAGAACAGCACGTGAACAATAATCATTAATTGCTTCATTTTAATTTGTTAGAGAGATTTAGCTTTTTCCATTATGTAACCAATATAATTTGTAAACGAAAGAGTGCTCAGTAAAATTATTTGAATCTGTTGCATGCTTGGTTGTGTCTGTGCAGAGGCATGCATGGTCAATTAATATAAAAATGAAAACTGACAGGACCATGCAGAAGCTGCCAGTTGTGTAAATTTATTTTAAAATGAATAAATTGTTATTGACACTGCATATATAAGATATATTTGAAAGAAGAAAAACGTTTTCAATCTGTAAGCGCAAAATTTAGCATAAACAGCTTGAGTGAAGAAAGGAATGCAGGCGCTGAATGTTTCAAAGCCCACATTTTGACCACAATTATTTATTGAAACAGCTCGCAATCTAGAAATGTGTCGGCACTGAGCAACCTGAAGATTCCAATTTCCTTCGTTGGATGACACGACTAGCTACTGTAGTGGCAATCTACTCAATCTTGCATGAGGTACGCAAAGCACTCAGAGTAGTCGTGCAAAAATTATATATATATATATATATATATATATATATATATATATATATATATATATATATATATATATATATATATATATATATATATATATATATGCATGCCGATTAGTCTTCTCATCCAATTTTTTTCCCTAAATTGAACCAAAGTTTGATCGATTTGTCCTTAGACTCAGATTCTTACTAGATTATGATAACAGGCAGAGGTTTCGATTCGGTCACGTGCCCCTAAATATATCTAAGCCCATCACTATATATAGCAATTCAGCATTAAATAAAGAGGTAATTACCGGTTAAAGTAACCGGTTTTCACAATAATAACGTCATTCTCATCAAATAACTCGTCTCAAAACAGGAACACGGGACTCAGGTCATGCAAGGTTTTGCTGACGTCATCTACTAAATGGGAAACTGAGGTGCAATGTGAAAGAAAAACAAATGTGTTGCACGTCTACGCAAAATACATGCGCGTGCATCAAAGCTTTTGTTTCCCTATATATAGGTCATACAGACAGACAAGCAAACAAATAGACAGCATGTACGGTGATTTTATTCGAGATTAAAAAATTCAAGTGCTATATGCAGCTCGGTTAAGTGTTCCCAGATGCATCGCCTGTTTTCGGCTCGTTTGAGTACGCCATTCCTTCGTGTTTAAATAGGGTTAAATGTGTTTACTTAGCTAAATTCATCCGGATAATTTCTACATTCATCCGGCTGGGATGAGCTGGGTGGATATTCTTAACGCGGCCGGGGGTGTGATATATATGCTCTTGCATGGTTTGAACTGTCTGGTGTGACTCTGGTATTTATACGCTCGCTATAAACGAGTGCGCGCGAAAGTTTCGCACGCAATCACCTACAATCACAAGAAAGGGTAAGTGCTGAATTAATACATTCAAACCTCTAGTGTGTCTGCTTGATGAGAAGGTCTCTGTACTTCAATACGGGAGATAATTTGCTGTTATTTTATCAACGTTGGGCCTTCAGAAATGTGTCCGCTTAAAGTTGAGTTGGCTGCTTAAGTAAGAGAGCTAGCGTCCGTTAATAGAACAGTTAGACTCTAGTGTACTACTTTCAAATACTATATAGTGTTTGTATTTTATATATAGCGTTTTAGTCCTGCGCCTAGTGTAAATATTTTTTATATGTGTTTATTTTAGAATAGAAGTATACAATATAGACGCAATCAAAAGAAAGAAAGAAAGAAAGAAAGAAACTATTTTCTAGACTCAAGATATCAATTTGGTGAGTAGTGGTGTTTCGCCATTTCAAATTCAGTATACTGGGGTAGGACAAGTACATACAACGTATATTGCTGCTATTTATTTGTAGTATAATTAACATGTCAGTACGTTTGGCGCGCATGTAACAGTAGCTATTTGTATTTGTTTTTATAAATAAAGGTCCTAAAGGCCAGTAAAGTCAAACTGAGTCCTTTTAAAACAATCATACTATGGAGCACGCTTTCTGATAGTAAGAACGGGAAGACGCGTTCTAGAATAGTCGGGAAAAACAGAAAATCCAACTGACGTTTTTCAGTCAATTTTTAGTGCTCTAGAATTTGAACTGCATTTCCGACCTTTCTCTAGAAACTTCTGTATTCCATTTGCCCATTTTATAAAATCATAATTATAGTTTTTTAAATATTGACTTTAAATAATCTCTTTCTATATTCATTCAGTAGTAGTAACGTATTTGCAATAACAGCAACAACAACGTACAACAGCTGCAACTGCAACATTATGTAACATTTAGCCTGCGAGCAGGCCCTCCTGGGTTACGGGCTATGTAACATTATAAAACAGCATTTGTAAATTCTGAACGCTGATTGGCTACTGAAGAGCCGTGTTGATACAACTAATGTCAACACGGAAAATTTCTTTCTTTGTATTTCTATATTATAAAAAATATAAAACATTTTTCCCTATTGATATGCAGTTATATCAACATTCGTGGAAATTGGGAAAACTCGAAATTGTGCGAAAACACTCCGCCCTCCGGCTCCGGGAGTCGTGTTTCCACACAATTTCTCGTTTTCCCAATTTCCACTCGTGTTGATATAACTGTATATCAACATAGAAAATGTTTTATATTTGTTGTAAAATTATCAACACGGAAAATGTTTTATATTTGTTAAGTATAATACAATCAGCAACGGAAACAATGAAGGCATCGAGCATAGTAGCATTTAGCTGAAAGACTGAACATGTAACATTGCAAGTAACAAGTATAGTTAAATGTATCTCAGTTCTAACTTCTCAAATTTTCTTACATTCAACGTTAAGTTGTTTTTCGGATATAGGTTTATAAAATATGAAAAACCAAAACTTAACATCGCGGGGATGGTGTTAATCCCCTCCCACACGACTCTGACCTGAGGCTCGTTTCGCAAAGGATGAATGGAACGACGAAACTCGGAAGGGAATTAAATTTACAAGATTTCGCCTGTGCGTTCGTGAGGGAAGACATGCATGAAACCGCGGTCTAATCAGACAGCACAATTATTATAACTGGCCGTAGGAATTCTCTTGCTCTTCCGAATTCGTTCACAGGCTCGTGTGAACGTCGTTTCAGCGTTTCTTTTGGACGCAAGTTTATGAGCAAATCACTCAATGTTTTGAGTAAAGATTTACTTTACTAAAACAAGTGCGTAAATTTGATCACAAATTTGTATTATATGAGTCTAGCTAAATCTATATAAATCTATATAAATCTGACGAGTCTGAGCAGCCGAGATACGGCAATCTTGGCCGGCTGCATAACCTTGAAACCATTCCTATTTTCAGGCGCCAATTTTCCAAAGTTAATGCACATTGACAAAACAAATTTCACCACCCCTTCTCCTCCAGTTCAATGTTGTAAACAACGTCCAAACAACTTTCGGTAATTTACCTCGCCTGTGTAGCAGCCTGGGTTTTTTTTTTTTGGGGGGGGGGGGGGACTTGCGGTAGAACGGCTGTTACACAGGCAGTAATGTACCACCATGACATAAGCTCATCATTGAGCTGGTGAAAGGGGGGGGGGCTAAGAAGCGCAACATGATTTAACATGGAATTAATCATAGGGTAGGCGAAATTTGTATACAGAGAAAGGTAAGTCTCAACCACTTATGCCCAATATTGTAGCGCCCTTCAAATTTCGCACAGGACGGCTGAGCAAACTCCTGGCAAACTCGACCGAGGTTCGCGATAATTCTCATCGGTATAGATTAACTCGGTAGGATTTCGCCTTACCTCCCAGAGTAGTATTTGTTTCTGCACAACTTTTTGGCCCGCGTGTCTCTTTGTTGCTTATGCTTATATCGTAATCCAATTAACTATTAAAATCTCCTCAGAAAAGCTTTCAAAATAAACGGCGTGCATGTGAGTTATAAATAAACGTGTTGAATTTTTTTCAAGTATGTACACACAACTACACAAGCAAGACCGACGCACCTAGACATTAAGCTTTCAGACGAAAAAAATCTTCTAAATATTTATATTGTATCGTGTTTATGCCGTTTATGTTTAAAATAGTGGAGTATGTTTATTCAAGATCCACTGTGGCTGCCTTTGTATACCTGGTCTCCAGTAGATTCGAAGGATCGAAGTTGATGCCTACCGCATAGTTCGTCCTTCGGCTTCGTCCACTACGAAGGAATTGAGCTTAATTAACAGGATCATAGCTACTTGAACAAGATTTTCATTACTTGAGGTAGTGCATTTTTGTAATTGGATTGACCTTGAAAGGTCTGATTTTCTACATCGATTTTGCTAGCGGGCACATCTTCACTGTAATCTTCACTGTAAGCAGATTCAGTTCCAAGCCATAAGTACTTTAAGGTCTTTACATGTGATATAAAGAGCTGGCTGAGCTGATGGCATGCATGGTGGCTGTCTACGATCTCGATCTAAAGCGCATGGACAAGGAGGTAGCCTCGAGGGAGGTAGCCTCGTGAGGGAGGTAGCCTCGCATGGGCTATTATGGCCCGTTCGCTATTTTCCCGTTTAGGAACTGCATGTTTGTTGTATTTGTACCTTATTAATGTAATATATTAAGTTCCTAATAAAGCTGTTAAAAAAAAAAAAAGGAAATATATTGTTCTGTTATGTCGTCTGTCTTAACCAAGAGATCATACGCAAATTAAAAAAATTAACTACACAAGTTCTTTAACTAAGTATTGTAAAATCCCCCGCATAATTAAGCCTGGTTTACAATCACAGTTCACGGTTTAAATAAGAAGATAGTCATGCAAGAATTTTTTCAATCTTTGAGAGCCTCAGAACAAAGGCTTCAGAACCGACGAAATTCTACAGACAGTACTGATAGTCCTCTCTCCTTCTGGAGTGTATAATTTGTCATCCATGCAGTCAGGGATACTGAGATCATGCAGAGTCTGTCCACAACTTTGTTCAGTTGCGAGCTTCATAAATTGCTTTACAACAAAATCGGGGAATAAACCATGTTGACCTGTCATTGAAAGAATGTCGATATAGTTGTATATAAGAAAAGTGAGTGTTTCTCACGGTTACTGCGGTTATGGGAAAAATACTGCGGTTTGCGGTTAGGTTTTGTGTTTTTTCTACTAATAACTAAAGCCATAAATCAAATGAGGAAGGCTTGTTTAGACAAACAACACATAAAAATGTTAAAAATGTTAAGAAATTATCCAGAGTGTTTTAGACGAAGCACAGATCGTGAGAACGTTCATGTTTCTGTTTATAATGGTGTACATCTAACAGCATGAGGTGTCACTGTCAGACATCTTTCTTGACCTAACCCTCTTACTGAATGATTCACACCATGAACATTAAAAAAGCCTTATGTCTTATGAACGTGTTAAACTAGAAACATAATTCTTAAAAATTTTCCAATAGTTAAACCTAGTCATTGTATTTATTTCCATCGCCACTGACACAGTCTGCTGTAAACGTAAATCCAATAAGCTCTCTATTCATCAGACTATTGATTCATATAAGCAACAGGTTATATGAATTGCCAGTTTACTTAAACAACTTTACGTGACCGTAGGTTACAAAAATAAAGGAGTGTACATCAATAGTTCGTCGAGACGTCGACGTTAGTATGGTTTGCTACCAATGAACGTGGTAAACAACGGAGTTGCTGATAAAAGATAGTATACTTCTCGTGAAAAGCTTATATAAGAGTATATATTGATCCTTTTGGACGATACATTCAGTTATAGAACTGATAGAACTATCCAGTCGAAAGGACATTTTCTTAGTTCAGGTTTATTCTGTAGAAATCCTTGGACTAAGTAAAGAGCAAATATTTCTGGACCTCTGCAAAGAGAACATTTTCGAACTATTGGAGGTATCCAGTACAAACAAAAGAAAGCTTTTGAGTTTAAATAATTGTGCGTTCTTAGCAAAACAATGACAATTTAATGTAACATTTTCATTTCTTGTAGATGATGGCATCCGTGACATTTATATCGTCAATTCTTCTTGCCTTCACCATCTTTTCTGCTGCCATTTTGAGCAGAAGCTCCGGCCGAGCATGCAAAACGAGATGGAGGAACGAAACCCTGGACATAACAGACACAAATCCAGCCTGTCAGCCACAGACAGTCACAATGTATAGATGTAGCGGGTTATGTCCATCGAATAGTAAGCCAGACGCCGTATCTGGTCAATTTATAAACACATGCAAATGTTGTTCCATTAAACGCACTGTGCTGAAAACGTTTACCTTTAACGGATGTCAAAATGTTTTAAGACGACGGCTTATAAAATCGTGCCATTGTTCAAATTGTAAGAAACACAAGTAACAATGGATAGAATCATAGAAGAAAGGGTGGAGTGAAGAAATTAGTATCTTTAATTAACTTTGTACAGGTCTTTAGACTCTAACGTATTTTTATACTGTTTGTCGTTCATCTGTGATTGAATAGAATGATTCTATATGTGATTTCGGCAATATTGCTAATGTGTATAATATGGGAGGGGTGTGCTTATTATCCTTACTTGCAGCTGAGAGCTAAGCTGAATTGCGAAGGACATAGCTGAGCATGATCGAGTGAAAGGCTTTCGAGGGTACGTGCCTCTGGCAGCCACCACGGAGCTATAGTGCCTTAGGAAAATCCACAGGGGAGTTTCAGAGGTAGTCGTCGCTCTGTTTACAACGGCAAATCACAGATTTTCACGTCTTTTATACAACGCCTGCATTTCAACAACGTAACAAGTGTAACTTAAAATTCGGTCAGTAGAACTCTTCTCAAACATAAAGCCAATGTTTTCAGCTTCTTATACTGTATTAAATTCATACGAATTATAATATACGACAAGTTTTCTTTACTATCATTTATTTGAAGGAATTTGTTTTCGCCATCGTCGCCGCGTTGCCGCGGTCCTACATGCTTAAGCTCCCTACTAATGCATGAGTGCCAACTATTGAAACTATCATCATCCTCGTTTGATCACGGGACTTATACCATCCAAAATTCTTTGGATTTTTAACTTTCTAATGCCAAAGAAAGTCGTTTGTTTAGGCCCTTTGGGAAATACCTCTTTTGTCTGCATGTGTATGTCCATGCAGTGATGATTTCGTGTTTTAAGGAAGAAATGAATAGAATAGAATTGTTCACAGGCTATAGCTGCTATAAAATATCAGTATAAATACCTCTGCATGCAGACTTACTCAACCCCTGGCCAATATGAGCAAGACAACCAACTGAATTCCAACATGCACGATACCCAGCGAGCAGCTGGTTGATTGGGCACTGGCCGCTTACGTCTAATATGTCTATAGTTGACTCCTGAGCGGGTGGCAAGACTAAATTATTTTAACATGTACACGGCGCTGTTTTATAACAGGACCAGTTGTTCAAACAATGAAGCACCATGGTTTTGCAAAGTCGTTGTTTTCCTGATTGACTTGTGTGACTACGATTCGAGTAATTTTAAAGCAATTTTAGAAGTGATTTTGGTCTCTATACATTTAATAAGCCGTCTATTATTTTAGTCTAACAGTAATAATCCAGGTAAGTTTCAATTATCATTGTCAGTGAAATCATTTCATACTGTGATTTATTTCCTGTGTGCTGTATAGAGTTTCTCGGTTGAAATGATAAACTAAACAAAGACAAACGTAAACCTACACTATTTCTCTAACGTATAGTTTTCCTCCTGTTTCTCAGTTTACATCCGATTATTACTTGAGTTACTTTGTCTTTGATCTATAAGAGCATGTGCGACAGTGTATAAAAGTTGTGCAATTTATATTATATACTACACTATAAATTTTAAGCCACTTGTAGTTTTTTTATATAGTCAAATCTGATACTGACTTGCAGAGTAACGTATTATATAGGTGGCATCAAAACACACAAGATGAAAGCGTTTTATCTTTTTGTTCTTCTTCCACTTGTCACCCAAACGCAAGGTAAATAATGTCTTATATTGCTTCATTACAAACACATTCCAGGGGAAGTTCTCCAGCCCCAATGTTGGCCCTTCCAATAACTTTCTTGTCTAGAATGTATTTACAGCGGCAGAAGGGAAGAAAATCTTAGTCACGAAGAGTCTTTTAATATTAAAAGTCTGAAAAATTATCGTCACCGAATTGCTCTAGTTTATTAATATTTTGTCCACACTAAAGGCCGTTTTCCACTTAACTGCATTGTAACGTGTCGTAGCATTTTCTTTTGTATCGAGGTCATTGGTTCCACTAATGAAATTCGCTCAGAAATTCGCTCAGGAATTCGCTCTTTTACGTGAGTACAGTTCACAATAATGACCATTCGCTTTACTTGTCTTCAGGAGGTAAATTAATGGAGAAGTTGTTCGCATGCAAGGCCAAAAGCCACAAAAATCTTGCTCCATTGAAACGAAGTACTATTTCGACTGAAAAGATGGAAGTTCAAGAGATGTATGGTCATTCCAACATGCACATGGATGAGAAAACAAAATTGAGAGAAACTGTTGCTAAAGGTCAGTGATAACACATATAGGTCCAACCTCGTTCCCAGGGTCTCTCCTTGATACGAGTCTTGAACGAATGAGTATACTAGGTAGGGGCACTCGCGATCGGAGACTGCATACGTCTGCCACCGAACTAAGTTATTTATGCAACAGCCTAATTACCCATTCAGTTGCAGCCCCCTCCCCCCCCCCCAACATTTTTTAAGTTGGGCAGATTCTACTTATAAAATCCGGGCAGATTCTACTTAAAAATAGCACAAATGATGAAACGGAACAACGACGGTTATTAAGCTAGCCGAAGAGCTAAAATATCTCTAACCTAGAAAACAATTTCAAAACGAATGTCCAAACATTGTGATGTTTTCGGTACAGACAAAAATGGGCATGAAGTCTTCAATTCTGAGGTCCATTTTTGGCAAAAATCTGTAGATAGTAGAATAAACAATTGATGACGTCGGATAGGAGAATTGAATGGTTAATTGAGTGACTGATTAATTGAACAAAGAACAAAACTAATTTTTATGCCCTCTGTTGTAGCTGAAGCGAACCTCAAAACTCATTACTTCCAAGGAGACATGATGTTGACGGGTCATCAACAAAAGGTTTTAAACAATGCTTTCAAATACGCTAGCAAACGAAATGATATTGAAAATCGAGCTATGATTAAAGATATCGCACGGTTGTGGTCCGATGGAAAGATCCCGTTTGCTTATGCTGCGGACATAGGTAAGGAAGCGATAGAGATGGCTTACCCAGCTCTGCTTTATTCGCATGGAGCAGTGGGCAAGCTATTGCTCTTAGAATCCTGGTGATCTCGGAACTCGGAAAAGGCCTGGCACTAGTTGTAAAATAGAAATCCTTTCTGGTTTAAAATTAATCAATATCTCATCAACGGTATTAGAGTTCTATTTCAAATTTGTCCCAGACACTCATTTCTCTGTGCAAGACTCAGACACAAAGTTTCAAAGAGTTTCACAAAAAAATCAGGGCGTGACACGTGATTAAAGGTACGAAACTGGATTTCTATTCTGTTGCTAGTCCCAGTCCTTTTGCTCACCGTCAGATCACCTGGATTGCATTGAGTACGTTCAATTAGTAAGAAAGGCTTTGGTTGTATAATAATTTATGTTAACCACTATATATTTCAGATGCGGAAGGTAAGAGTGTAGCAGACAGCGCGATGAAACATTGGATGCAGCACACTTGTGTTAAATTCACTGAAAGAACAAATGAAAAAGATTTTGTTGAATTCCAATTTGCTGATGCGTAAGTCATTATGCTTTCTCTAATTTCAAAGTTGACCACCAAATCATTCAGTCACTGCTTGTTCTAAGCTAGTGGTCCACAAGTTTGCAGCAAGTTGTTAAACTAAAATAAGCTAAGCAAACTGTGTTTGTATTGAATTACTCCATCAGGTCTAAACTGTGCTTGTAAGGGCCATTTCTATTGCTTTCGTGTTATATTAGAGGAAGCCGTGCAACCCTAAAAGTAGTAAAGTACCTTGGTACAGACCCTTCTTACATTCGACCAGGGCGTCTATAATGGTTCTTCGAGTCCCGTTTGCACCTTGCCCATTTAGGGTCATTATTTTCAGAGTGATTAGTTTTGGTTTTTATTGACCCTAATAAAGATGTTTGGAAAAAAAAGAAGAAAAAAGTTTTTCCACAGGAGAAAATTCCACTACTCAGAGAGAACCTGTGTTGCATGGCTTGCGAGAACCTTCTCGCGTGCAAGCGAGGCGAAATTACAATCCAACAACTGTATATTGCAAGACACGCTTGTACCCTGGCTTTTCCATTTTAACCTTGATACGAGGTTGATTGCAAGAATGCATGAGACCAAGGGAAAAGCAGTAGATCATTTCCGAATTATGCTCTAAGAATAACACGATGTCTAGGCTCAGTGCTAATTTGCTACAGAAACATTACAATTTAGCACGAAACCTCGTTCTCACGCTGTTTTCTGCATGTGGGACATTCGACCGTAATTTGGAAATATATAGCTACAATATACCATGGGCCACTGGGTTATCAGTATCTTAAATACTGTCATGTGTCACCCTCATTAAATAAAGTCGCTATATAGTAACACCTTGAGCATATGTTATCTCTCTCCATCTTTTCAAGGTGTGCCTCACGTGTGGGTCGTCTTGGCGGGAAACAAGAGATCCTTATTGGTTCTGCTCAAGCCAAGTGCAAAGTTGGAAACCTCATTCATGAACTGGGTCACACTCTTGGCTTTTTCCATGAACATTCCAGACCCGACAGAGATCAGTTTGTTAAAGTAGCGTTTGAACTTGTTAAGCCTGGTGAGTCATGTGTGAACAACACACCCACAGACTGCATGCCTCCGCCTTCTGACTACATATTCTCAAAGATCTCACAGTATATATCTTCGGTCTATGAGCAATTACCTTGGATCCAGTTTTCTCGTGCATGTAAAAAATCGCTGAAAGACAAATAGAAGGCTTAGTTTAGGCTGGCCAATGAGCAAATTCCGCACAAATTTCATGAAATTATGTCCGATTAACCTCCCCCGATATACTTCTGACAGAAAGCCAATACAATGCGTAAATTATACAAACCATTGCATAATATTGCCTTATGGCAACCTACTGTTCCGCCATGCTTTTGTGGTTTTCTGAAAAGCATTTTACTAATGGAAGGTTACATTAAATATCATTAAATGATACAGTAACAATTTCCGTAGCGCTCACTCACTATTAACGATACCCATGTCAACTCGTGTTGTACGTCATTTTTGAGCGCCTTACTACTTTCATTGTTAGGTTTTGAAATCAATTTCAAGAAACTTCCCGCTGATTGGATAGACTCGCGTGACGTAGCGTACGACTACGGTTCAATTATGCACTATCCTCGCACTATATTTGGTAAAAGCCCGTGGGATGAGACGGTAATTCCATTGGATGCCGCGGCACAAGTGGGCCAGAGGATCAAATTGAGTGATCCTGATATATTACAGGCAAAGAAGCTATATAGATGCCCTGGTAAGAATATTTTAAAAATCCGAGGAGATATTTTTGTATGATACCTGAAACGTGTTTTATCAGAAATACGATCATCGTTGGCGGATATGCAATGACAATTTGAGCAAATGTTCCACTTAATAGAGCAAGAGTTTGACATGTCGATAAACCCCTTCTGATCCTCTTTCGACATCATGATTTGTTTTTCAATAGGTGTAACTGAGAAGACCAAGTCATAACCAAGACAATAGCACCGTTTAGATTTTGATAATCAGATGATAATAATGAAGTTGTAACTGATGACGTCAATTAATGGCACTTTCCCGTTCACTACGTGGAATGTTCACAAAACAGAATGTAGCTAGCTAGCTATGAGTTTGTATTGTATTTGCTTTACTAGTACTCTAATCCATGCTGCATACAGATTACTTCGACCAAACTCTTTGATAACCGAATATGAATTAGAATTAAAGCAGTGTTTATTAAATCAATCTCGGTACCCAGACTGCCCATAAATATATTATAATTTATATATAACTAAAAACTCTTTATGAATTATGATGCCACAATAGACGTTAAAATTAATTTTCCTTTTTAACACATAGCTCTTCTAATTATTACTATTTTAAATTTTCAAATAAAATTTTAAAGTATTTTATTTAGTTGAAATTTATATTAAAATATCTTAAGTTTATATTATAGTCGTTACTGAGTTAGTCAAATAGCTAGGGACTTAACATCAATCTCAAACTGAAAGAATTATTAAAATGAATAAAGATATAAAAAACTACATTGTGTTCAGTTTCTTTACCGATAACTCTTTTTAGTACCGTATTGTAAATAGTGTGTAGGACATTGCTTATATATATAGACATTAGTTATATTCATTAATTAACTATAAATCTGGAACACTAAAAAAGTAATCGGTTTACATAATAAGTAATAATGGTCCAAATTGTGATCCCTGTTGTACGCCACACAGAATCTGTTTTTGTTTATTTCATGTGAATTTTAATTCAAATTTACATATATTCTCTGCAACATCAATACGGCTTCCCTGTGTAGTGTATGGGCGGGCGGAACCCCCATACACAGGGAACCCGTACTGATGTTACAGAGTTGCCTGCGGAGGAGGCTAGACGAAATCGGTGTTTCGACTGCGTATCGAAATGGCGCATTCTGCGCTGGGAACAAATTGCAGTTGAACTATATATAACATGTACCTGAGACCGGAATAATTTAAATATGCATATGTAAGTATTCAACTGTTCAATACTTTGATGCGTATATTCTAATTCAGTTTCAGCCTTAGCTACATGTTATTCAGTGTTCAACTGCAATTTGCTCCCAGCGCAGAACAATTTGTTTTTATTTGGCTAGCTGTTCGATGCAGCGGGGGAACCACCTGTATTATTTTTAAAACATAAATGAAGCAAGTTGATCTGGTTACACATGGATTAAAATTTTAGAAGAAAAATCGCTGAAAAGAGGTTGGTGTGTGTGTGTAGACAAATTGAAATAAACGTGAGGTGGGCTTTGTCCCAAAATGATGCCACTGGATGATCCTTTAGCAAAAAAGACGCCGCTTCATCGGTCACTCGAAGCCGGTCTTAATGATCTGAACTTCATTTCCTGTTTATTGAAATTCAATTTCTATCCATTGGAAAATGCGATTTTATCAAACCTCGTAACATAGCTAATGTAATAACAATAAAGATCAGAGTCATAGCTCATAGCTGCACGTTGATAAACCTCGTGCGACTAAATCCGTTCAAGGTGAAAAACTGCCAAACTGGGAATCACGTCGGAGGCCGGAAGGGTGCAGGGGCATCCTCTCAAATATCTTTTTAAAACTAAGATCCTGAAGAAGACTAAGTCCAACACATTGCTATGGCACCCATATTTTTTATGTTTATTGAAAAACCTTTGGAAATTGTAAGCCATGCAGACGAACAACATCATATTGAGTTAGAAATTAATGATTAACTGATCAAAATGTATGTTAAAAGTGATACAAAAGAATACGAATAATTATTGATTTACCAAAACAGAATTGTTTTTTTAGGTATCTGCTATCGAGATGTTGGATCATATAACGTTGTGCTCTCTTCTCATCTTAATATTTATAAATGGTACGGCGTTCATGTAATTGATTATCAGAATAGGGTACCTTACAAACATACTGTTATTTCAGTTACGGCTGACAAAGGCAATTGTCAAATGCACAATTTTAATGCATTGAATATGACGAAAATAGTGGTGACAGCATAGACAATCCAGTAGACATCAATGTCTTCCGGGTTGTCGATGATAAGGGTTATCACGTAAATATGTGTAGGACGTTGCCGCTAATAGTAACCACAGTAACATAATGTGAAATTAATTAAGGCTTGGTGTCGTATGATCTCCATCATAAACGACAAATGGGTGCAACGAACGAGAAGAAACAAATGTTGCAAGAAAATGAAGACTTGGCTAAAGGTGCGATTGTTCTGGCCATTCTTTGTTTTTATTTTCAATATTAAAATCACCATTCAATTCGTTCGTTTTAATTGAAAGACAATACTAAACAAATGAAGATGATTGTACCGTGTCCACATTTTTCACTCAATATATGCATGTACTGCCTTATCCTTCTTCCCAGACTCGTTATCCTCTTTTCCAACCTTTTTTCTGTTCCTTCGAAGGTTATTTTATTTTTAGTTTTAAATTTCTACCCTACTCATTCATGTTAATTATGTTAATTGGATATTTCAGTCAACAACTGGGTTAGAAATCTATATCCTTACTATTTAAATTAATTATGAAAAGTAACAAATATTACCTCTCGTCTTCTTTGGTTTCTTTATATGTACTATATACTTTCTACTCAATGCATAATTTTCATTCTCTACTGTATATCATGCTTTCTTAATTTTATAGTGTCACTCAATCGTTTTCGTTCTTTCAACATTTTGTTAAGAATAAGCTTGTCTTTCCCTCCACAGCTGAAGAAAATTTAAACAGTAACTTCTTCGAAGGAGATATTTTAACCACCCCGGAACAGATGAAGGGGATTAATCGACTACTTTTTCATTATCATGATACTACAAACTCCGTCGATAGACCAGATGTTCGGGGGTTGGTCAAAGACGTGCGCAAGACCTGGCCCAATGGCATAGTATATTACAAAATTTCTAATCTACTTGGTAAGAAGAATAACATTGCAACGGCAACTTTATGTGATAGTTAAACATAAATATCAAGATTTTGCTTGCATCTAACTCGATTGAATAATAGTTGAAAGGTTTTAAACCCTTGAACTATTGATCAATCGAGTGAGATACCAACAAAATCTTGATCATATTTACCCATTCCTTTAACATGGCAGTACCCGAGTATATATGCATGGACTTTTTCAATTCAATTTATTTAATTTGAAATGCATTCAGAAATCTGCAAGTTTCATCCTGTTAAGTTCAGAGAGTTGATTTAACTTCGTGGAGTTATTTTGAACCTTAACTCCAAAATGTAAAGTAAAATTAGGTTCAAAATAATTCGGAGTAAAATGAATTCCCTAAAATGAACTGCGGCAGAATTCGAACCCTAATCGTGTCACAACTACCAGACAACTCAACAAAAATTATTCACCGATAATTAGAAAACGATGAAACATGTACAACGGAATTTTTTTTTTTCTGTGTTGGTGTAGTGTACTCAGGTGAATATGATATTTGTGGTGTTACTCTGAGCTCGCCCGGTGTGGATATACACTCAGAGTAACACCACAAATATCATGTACAACGGATTTGAAACAAAATATTTTACTTACACCTGAGTTGTATTATAGCTTCAGTTTTAGCTGAGACACAAAGGCATCTATTATGATATTTTCTCTTTTAAAAAGGGCCGGATAGAAAGCGACTGATCAAAAAAGCTATTAAACACTGGAAACGAAGGACCTGTCTAAAGTTCAAAAAGAGAACCAATGAAAATGATTATATTAGATTCCAGTTTGGATTTGGGTGAGTAAGAAAGGCAGCCTAAGAGTTAGTCAACGCTCTGCCGAAAGTCGTAGGTTATCTCTGGGTGCTCCGGTTTCCTCCCACAGGACAAGTTGACAGGGTTGGTTAGGTTAAACACAGTTAAGAAAGTAATATCACAATTGTTGTAAAGATAAAATAGTCTAGTCTAAGCATGTAATTAGGTAAGCGTAATACTTGATGTAAAGCGAATTTGATCCACATGTAAATTTGTGCTACAGAAGGCTTATTATAAAATAACATGTATATAACGCGTGTTCTGATTGGTCGAAACCCGTGTTTGGATCAGGCCATCCAAACACGGAAACCATAAAGTAACTGTACATGTATAATCTTAAACTGTATTTTCAGCTGTGCCTCGTATGTTGGTCGTATAGGAGGACGACAGAAACTTGTTGTGGGCCAACAATGCAGGCTTGGAAATATTATTCACGAAGTTGGTCACGCAATTGGGTTCTTTCATGAGATGGCAAGACCAGACAGGGACGAGTTTGTTAAAATTGTTTGGAAGAATATCATTCCAAGTATGGTACCTTTTTCCAATACGTATTCCTGTTATTTTCTAAGCACGTAGCACTTGATTCGAAACCGCCACTGATTCACACATTTGGTTCACCAATTCTAAAATTTCTTTTACAGGTCGTAGAAGAAATTTCCTGAAATTTACAACGAAAACAATCGACTCTCGGAACGTTCCATACGACTATAATTCCATCATGCACTACAGCAGACTACATTTTACTAAAAATCGAATCAGCGAGACCGTCGTTCCAACGAAAGATTCGAGCGCGCAAATAGGACAGAGACTCGGTTTGAGTGTTCTGGACGTGAAACAAGCTAAACTACTGTACAATTGTGGAACTGGGCAAGGCCAGAATACCATGATACCAGATGGTAATATGGATGCTGCACATTGATTGGCTGCTGAACAGTAATTGCTGATTGGCTAATGAGTATTCTATGATAACTTCAAAGACAAAATAGACTCCAGCAAAAACTTTTAATATACAAAATATGAAAGAAAAACAAGAAGGGAGAAAAATTCCTGTTAAACTTTGAGGCCTTTGAGAATATCCTGTAAAGGTTTTTTTATATGCGTTCTTTGGCGCGCGTAAATATATTTTTAGCCAATCCGCCTCATGTTTGCAATGTTCCCAAATACAGTAAGTCAGCAAAACAGTCTATATTGACTATATTAAATTATTAACATATGTTAATTTATTCCATAATTATCGTACTAGTATAATGACTATAATGGCGCTCTGATAATGGAGTATCCGGACTCCGGAGAAATACTCCACCGGAATAAAGTACCTAAAGAAAATATTTTCAAATGTCTGGCTGACATTTCCTATATAGAGGAATACCTCAGGCCAGTTAGGAAATGTTTTTCCTGTGTAGGAATTAGGAAATGATCGCTTGTGGGCGAGAATTTCTCATAAGGAAGAAGGGTTGTTCAACAAGGCAGCTTTAAATTCGATGGATTTCTACAATACACGCGATACATACATACTTTGTAAGGGCAACGCAAGCCTTTGGTGTAATCGAGTTAATGGCAACCTTCAAGTGAGATCAGGTTTGTAAATATCACAAAGTAAAGTTAAATAAACAAGCAAACATGTCGATCTGTGAATTTTTTTTAACTTTTCAGTGTCGACATTGTTTGAGTAAGTGTTAAAACTATCATATTTCAATGTGTTTTTCAGTTATAAACAAATAAACTCCACGTAGACTGTGTCGCTGAAGTTAATGAGAATTCAGAATTGTACTCTCAATATAGGTAAATATTTAATATGTTTTAGCTTCTGCCATTGAAGAGCTGCAGATTAAGCCAAAGTGTTTGGGCACAGTGTATGGTGTGGTTGGAAAGATAAGGTTTTTGCCAGGTTTGAAAGTTATTGACTCATCAAGGGATGTGTTGGGGTTAATGGGTTTTTAATTTAATAAACTGTTAAGAAGCCTTAATGCATTGTACTTTGTTATTTTACTCTGTCTAATGTCAGACAATTTTCCATGCTGAATGAAAGGATCTGAGCATTTTAATTTTAAAGGTTCATCAGAAGTGGGGGGAGGGGACGAGCCCCCTGCCAATGTCATAATTTAGGATTTGCATAGGCGATCATGATCAACTCATTGTGGATTATTATATCAATAGGGACAAAATCAGTTCGTTCATGCTTGTAATTTGTATACAGAATAAACTTTGTTCCAAAACTGACAGTTAAGGTTGTTAATTATACGTTGCATTACCACAAAATCTCAAATTCTTAAATGCAAAACAATCACAACTTTATTACAAATTCCTGTCAGGAAGCATAAAAAATGCTCTTATGAGGCTTCAAAAACACACAGTTTTCCTGGTGATCGAGGTTGCCCCGAGACACTCCCTGGTTAATTGAATGCCCCTCCCCACTTCCAATAACAATAACATTTTCCAGTATGTGTCACTGGGCAACTGATGCATAATGTGTTCAGTACTAACAATTTCATACAACATTGGAAAAAACATGTTTTATTGTATATGGTTTAAATTGATCAAATGTACATTCTTAATATTGTTTGATCGAGCATCATTAACCCATTCAATTCCAGTGCTCTTCCCTTGACAAGTACAGAAAAGTGGTGTACTACATGATCTACAGTATTTCATTAATTTGACTAGCCTTGCTTTGTTACCTTATATGCACAGCTGGTCATGGCATTTGATCATTTGACAAGTGCTTGTCAAATGGATAAATTAAAATTGTGTCCATATGATCCATTCAACTTCCTGGCTTTTGCACAGCTGGGGCCGGTCATAACTCTTAAATACTTTTTAAACCACTATTTTGTAGTTACATTACATAGTTACAGTAATTATAATAGTTATAACTCTAAAATATGTGATTGTGATTGGTAGCTACAGTAGCTTTTACACAAACTGTAATTAGCTCTAACTATCTTTTTATACAATCGGCCCCAGAACACCATTTCATCAATTCAAGATGATTAATTAAAGGAGAAAATGGTGCCCATATGATCCATTCTACTGTTTTCATTGATCTGTCATGTTTAGCTTGTGTGGCCACGTAACTGAAAATTAATAAATTAATTTTATGCCCATGCCAAGAATGCCTTCTGTTCATAATTTAGCAAGCAACTGATGTCTGGTATTTTTGTAGGTTCTGATGATAAGCTAGTATTAATAACAAAACGTTATGAAGTTGGAAAGTTGGCAGATGAAAGTCCAATTTATAGAATTGAGAAAATTGCTATTGTTCCTCTTTCATCTGATGAATGTCCTGAAATTAATTTTGATGTAGGTTGATGTTGTAGAACTGTATGTTTGCTGCAATACTGTAGCTTAGACAACAAACTGCTGATTGAAAGATTTTTTATTTTGTTTTGGGAAACAATAAGCATTGAGTCAATGGTATATCATTTGGGGGTCATGTTCAATGTTGTGTTGGAGTAGTATTATAAAGCCCTGAACCTAATCTACAGTCACAATATGGCTTACTCGAAAAGTGATATCACTGCCCAACAAGGCAGAGATAACTGCACTCTTGTTGGAAGAAACCCCCCATCATCCATAAACATTCAAAGCATTTTGGGAGGTGGTTTTACAGAGTTCTGAAGATTACAAAATGTCCTATAAAATGCGCAATAAATAGTACTTTTCAAGACGTCGTAAGCCTGACCAGTTTAGAATCATTGAATCTTTATTTCAATTTTGATATTCTGCAGTAGAAGAGATAAAAAGAAGAAAGAATTTAAATGTTTATTGCCTAAGATTTGTTTATATAAATTTTGTTGAGACAAAAGTAGGTGGCTGCAGATACAGTAGGCAAGTACAGTCTGGTCATTTTGGCCTGCTACTGGCCTTTATTGACAGCCCTAATTAGATGAACTACAGTCTGTACTAGGTTTCTTGTGCAACAAAACCAAGATAGTTTGCCACTATACACATGTAGATCTGCTATGCTAATGATACAGTGCATCAGATGGATGGTACAATACATCTTGATGCATGATCTGTGTCTAGTACAGTATAAAACGGGGCACTGTCTTCTTTGCCAACAAAGCTGTGATGAATATTTTTCCTGTAGTCATGTGACGAACACAGTGGTCAATCATCATCAAAGCAAGTTCCTCAACCCAGAGTGGCGCAAACATTTAACAATTTGAAAACATCTTTAGCTAACCAGTTTAATAAAGCGACGGCAAATAAAAATAATTTCCAGGTAATTTTAGTTTATGTGCTAAAGAACTAAAAAAAGGTTTATTTCTTGACTTATCAGTATTTCCAGTTATTTCATCATAATAAATATGTTGCTGCAAGAAGTCTGTTTGCAGTCTATACTGACAAGTTGTTAGTTTTTACTTTTTCTACTTATTTGCTTATTATGTAACTTGTAAATATATTTATCTTATATATATTTATCCAAATTTTTACCATGATTATTTTACATTGAACGACTGTTTAGAAAGCTGCTGACAAGGATGTCACTCGGGACAAAGAAAAGATGGAAAAGTTAGAAAGAAAATTACAAGAGGTGAAGGCAATTAGACTTGATTTGTCAAGTCAGATAACCTAATCTGATTAGAGAAAGAGAGGAAGGCAATTAGACTTGTTTTGACTGTTAACCCTTAACATCTGTCATTAAAACCAACCGCTAAAAATTACACCATCTGATATTTTACAAAAGCAGTTGAATTTATAGATACAGGTGCAATGTAAAATTGGAGAAGCACTCCATTTTAAGGGCACCTTCTCATTAAGCCATTAAGTTGCATTGAAACACAGGAAAATGCTGTGTTGCAGGGATTTCAAAATAAGCTATAAGCTGCTAGCGGACGCCGGAGCTCCGGCAGCTGTTACAAGGTTTACCGCCGATTTTTTTCTTTTTTCATCATGCATTTGTCACATTATGCCACTGTCAAGAGATTAGGACAAATCAATGGCAATGATATAAATGATTTAAAAGTTGTAATATTGGTTGTTTAAGGGAACTGACTCAGTAATAATAATAATAATAATATTTCTATTGCGCGATTTTACATATGTATGTGATCAAGTGCGCATTACAATTACAGCCGAAACTGGCGTGAAGCAGACTGAGGTAGACTGTGAGCTTACAAATGGCGTTTTAAGCAGCCGCTATTAGTCCATACCTCATTAATGATCTGGCCCCTGACCTATGTGCCTAACCCACCCTGTCAACTTTCCCTGTGGGAGGAAATCGGAGTACCCGAAGAAAACCCACGACTTTCGGCAGAGAGTTGACTTTTACTCTTTTCACATGAGGACTGGGTTCGAGTCACACCTTGGCCACAGAATAAGGCACACAGAAGGGCGACTCGAGTAACCGCTGCCACGCCATGATTCATCATCAAAATGCTGACGCCATGGTCCTAGCCAGTGCGCGTTTGAGAGGCATCCCCCCCTGGACATCCGCCATTTTGAATATTATCAGGGGGGTGTATGCCTCTCAAACGCGCACTGGCTAGGACCATGGCGTCAGCATTTGATGACGAATTACGGGTTACGCCAAAATCATAGGAAAATCATAGGAAAAACCAAGAAGTCGGCCTTCTGTGTACCCTATTCTGTGCCTTAGAGGTGAAAGGCAAGTGCGCTAACCACTTTGCCACCGAAGCCCCTTTGAAGCCCCGTAAGTAGGCTAAGTTTCCTCAAAGATTTCTTACAAATTTCCTATGCAAAATTCCTACAGCAGCTGTAATCACAGAAACGTTGATAGTGTAAACCAGTCTTAATATTGTACCTGGTTGTCGTGAACGTTGTTGTCGCGGATTAATTTTGGATTCGTTCTCATGCCAAATGGTTGTTTTGATTCTTTCAAGGAATTTGTGAAGATGTTTAACGATTCCCAATCATTTTACTACTCAGAACAAATTGACCTCACTAATACTGTGC